GGACAAGCTGGAGGGGAAAAGGGGTGAAGCATGGAACTCCAGGGCAAGGAAGGCAGAAAGAGGGACCTAAGGGCCAGCCCTCTCGGCCGGGGCTCTGGCAGGCCTGTTCCTCAAGAATGGCCTGCTGTGGCACAAGCCTCCACGCACGTCTCCTGGCTGGGATTCTCACCCTCGTGCGAGTCCCTGCCCTTGCGTCCAATCTTACTGTAAGGATTGAGGTAGTTACTCCATTTACACTCGTAACATGTATTACCTGTAGTTACTCCAAACTCGTGCTCCCAAGGAGCTTCCTGCTATTCCATTTAAGAAAAACAATTTCTTTTGTCTTGTCAGTCCAGATTCAACCACACTAAGGCACCCATAGCGGTGCCATCAGGCTGTGCCCCCAGGAGGTGCACAGGGCCCTTTAAACCCACCTTCGGTCATGAGGCCTCGTCCCCATCCTGTACCCCCATACAGAAGCCTTATGTACTCAAAGGAAGGGAACTGAAGTTTTCAGCTGGTGTTACTCTAAGTCTGAATACAGGAGAAATGTTCTGCATCTAAGTCATCAACTGTTTGGAAGGGAAACGGCTTTCTGTCCCCAGGCACTGAGGATTTTTCTTCCATTTTCCTGCCATCACTGTTGTCAGGCTGTGCTGTTTTCCTTCCACCAGTTTTCAACAAACAGGCAAAACAGTTGAATAGTTTGAATGTTAGAGCCACTTGGATCTCCCCGCAAACACTTCAGGAGAATGAGAGGAGGAGGAGACCCCCCACCCCTGGAGGAGGGGTGGGAGGAGGGGGACCGGGAGGGGCGCTGGCTTGGAAAGCTCAGGCGGTGCCTCGGGGCTCTGAGGTAGTTACAGCACTGCTGGTTCCCAGTTTGGCAGAGTATGTCTGGGGTGGGAGGAGGGGAAGGCACCCTTGAGAGCTAACTGAGGCCCCTCCTCACTGCCAGTCTGCCAGGCCTGAAGGGAACTTGCGTGCTATCTCTGCAGTGGGGGCAGGGGACAGAGAGCGGTCCCACACGGAGAAGCCCCAACTTCCCCTCCTTCCCCAAAGTGCAACCAGGAGCCAAAAGACCCCTTTTCTCAGCTCCTGACCCCCTGGCAAGTACTGCCCCCACATCCCCCAGGAGCCTCAGAAGGGAAGGACCTTGTCCTCGGCTCGCACGGTTTCCGGGAGCCCTCCTCCTCTCAGACAGCCCAGGTGTGTGTCAGAAGATGGCTGCTGCTTTGATTCAGAAATGGCCTCTCTCAGCCTCTGTCTGTCTTTGGCACAGAGGAAAACGGACACGTAGAACCTCCTGGAGTATTCCCCTCCAGTGTTCTCTGGGTTTTACATGGGGTCTTTACTGCCAATAGGGAGGCATAACTAATAGCATAGCTCCCAACTGCCCCCAGAAGTGGAGAGCTCAGGGGAAAGGAAAAAAGACTGAGAAGGACCGTGAGGAGGGGAAGAAAGGGTAGAAGGTGACAGACTCCCTGTCCCTACACGTGGCTCTCTCCCACCCACACCCCTCCCAGGAGCCCAGTCCACAACCCAAACTGCAAACGGAAACGCCCCTAGAAGGGATTAAAGCCATCGGGGTGTAACTGTCAGATGCAGCTTCAAAGTCAGTGGATCAAACCATTTTGGTTTTTGTGTTCCACAGAGTTAAAAAATATATCCTAAAGATGGTCCTTTCTTAAAAATATATATGTAGCACACACACACACATATATATCTTAGAGTACAGAAGCAGTCTTTTAAAAGTCGCTTTTCTCAGATTATCCGAATCTCCCAAGTGCCTTTCACGTTAGCTTGTTATCTCACCGAGGATGGGAAGTGGAGGTGATATGCAGGAGAGCAAGGAAACGCTGCCTAGACCTAGCCTACGGGTCAAAGGTGAACCCACCAGAACTGGCCCTTTATCCTGCTAACCCTTAACCACCAAACCATATTCCTTTTGCTTTCTGCTAGTTTTAACTTTCACAATTTTCCTGCCGGGCTAATGTGAGCAGGGAAGGCAGCCGTGCCTAATCCATGTTGTGTGTGACCACCTCTCTGCCACACTTCCTGGTCTCTTTGGGGAGCTCAATCAGCCAAAGAAAAGGATGTGGGCTGACAGTGTGAAGGGAGCAGGACCCCAAGGAAAGCGGACACTGCAACAATCACATTTCAGGTACTGTGTGGGTATTTTTCCTTTGATGGTAGAGTTTCAACCAGATATCAAAGCATGCTTGCTGCTGGAAATTTGCTTTAAATCACTAAATGGCCGATGTCTGAACATTATCTGCTTTGTTTTGGGATAAAGCATATAGAGCCAGAGTTGGAAGTTGAGAGAGCCTACCCTTTTTTGTGGTTAGAACAGATGGGAAGCTCAATTATACTGGCCTGCTATTGTCCCTCAAAGATTTCCTGCTTCCACCTCTCTCTGGGTATAAGACAGCTCTGGGGCCTAGAGAGGACTGTCATAGGGAGGGAGGAGTAAGACAGGAACCTGTCCCCGGTCACACCCCCACATTCCCTACTTCTCCCTCCTTGCCACCCACCACTTTTAAGTCAAGAATTCCTTTACCATGGGTCCTCCCTTACAATCAATCAGCTCAACCTCCAGAACATGGGAGACAGAGGGGACAGTTATCTGTCTGTTCCTTGGTCTATGATACAGACTGAGAATAGCAAGCTGGGGTTGAAATGAAGCAACACAAAAAAAGGCATTGCAATGACAAACCAGGTGGGCCTCTCTAAAGGTGACAGGGTGGCTGTCTCTCCCACCAAGGGTATCTTGACTCCCATTTTTTTTGACAGAGAAATAGAGCTTTTTAAAGGGATATGTTCTTTAGTTATCATTTCTCTCCTCGATAAAACGGAGGCAATAGATTAAAATACTCAACAGCACCACTGGTGGAAAAAACCAGCCGGGATGCCCTTTTAACCAAAGGGAGAGGGAAGCCCACGGGCCCGTTGTTCAGACTGTCTTTAACCACGGGGCCCTCTGCTTTGCTAGGCCTCTTAATCCCATCAGGCAGGATTTCCAGAAGGAGGCCGGCAGCTTGGGAACCTGCAAGTCAGAGATGAGGGCCCCACTGAGCTCTCCCGGGCCGCGGCCTTCCCTCCCAGCCCAGCCTCCTCCCAAGGAGCCGGCCCCCGCTGCCTTTCCCACACACAGGGCCTGTTCTCCATAGAGAGTTCCTCAAGGGTTATGCTGGCTCACGTTGTAAGAAATTATGAAACATAACTTTCTCATTTTTTTACTTTTCATTAAAAAAATAAAATATTCAAGACTATCAGCTTCTCTTTAGCTTTGCTTTTCTTTTTATATAAAATATCAGCAAGCCGCAAAGAAAAAAAAAGATTAAAAAAAATATGAGGTTGGGGGAACAAAAAGGAAAGTAATTGCTGAGGTAACTTCATACCTTGAGGTAGTTTGTTTGGCGCACAGCATCACCTGACTGACTCCGCCCACGGGTCACTGTTGTCTAGTCCTTACTGTTGCAATGTCTGAAGGAGGGGACCCCATGCATGGGCTTCTCCACATGCAGAGAGGCCTTCCTCCCTTCCCAGCACACTTGAAAGCATTGTCCACGGTAGCTAAAGTGCACCGCCTGGCCAATATGTACTGACAATCAGGAGATTAGGAGGGGAGGCCTAACCTCATTTAACTGATGGCTGCTGCACTTCAAACAGAATCTCCATGAGCCTGGTGAATTAATAAATTAAGCTTATTTACCCTTTGTGCATAATGTTGCTGACATTTTGAATTGTTTTCTAGGCACACCTTTCATCATGCCAATGATTCGTGGAGGCAGAAGCCATCAGTTATATATGACACTAGAATAAAACAGAAGAAGATACTCTCCAATTTACTGAATACTCATTAATATATGCCAGATGATGGACTTAAGCTTTATCGGGAGCTCAGGGTTGGGTTCCACATCCCACCACCACCAAGGGAACAGTGCCGTGGGGGGGGAGTGCCCCGCAACCCGCCTCTGGGAACCAGCCCTGACAGGAGCACATGGGCTGGGGGGAGGGCACAGTGGCAGCCTTTGGGGCCACTCAAGTCCTCCATGGAACTGAGACTTTATCAAGGGGAGTTAGTGTCCCCTTCCCAGTGCTCATATCCAATCATTAAAATAGACTTTAAAAAAATATAAAATCTGCCTGAGAATGATGGGAATCAGGGACAGTACAGTGGTCAGCCCCTCATGTACACCTGGATATGACGTGGGACCCATATGGTTAGAGGGACATGAATGGAGCTCAGAATCATGGTGGGGAAGCCCCAACAGACTGGGGAAATTTTTAATTTTGCCAATTTTTCAAGATGGTGGAATAGATCAGCCACAAGGGCACTCCTTTTAAACGTGGATTACTATGTATTTTAATATTTCTCCCTCATTCTTTACTCCTTGCTATTCCTACTGTCTGGTTAGGGAGGGATTAGAATAAAACTCAGAGGTTGACTTGTCTTCTCCCTTTAAATCAATGTAAGCAGAGGAATGCACTGGTCCCCACTTTTTCTGGTAGCAGTAAAGATAAAGCAGTTAGTGTGAATATAGGAAGAGGCTGTATCAGGACACGAGAACGGAGGTAGGTGTTTCAATCAATAAACCAAGCAGGAAAAGGCTAGGACTTTAGGCTCAAGTAGTAAACCATTCATCCTTTGAGGATGATTAAAACACCCCTCTGCATGTTTTAAAAACCTGAAGGAAATTTCTCTTCTCACTGGGACCTGACCCACCCTTCTCAGTGGGACCTGGAGAACTACACAATCCACATTTAAAAGCACCCTGAGCTAGAATTTCCATGGTGACACCCTGAGGACTGGGCAGTGTTTGGCCAATTGGTTGGGTGTTTGGGGCCAAGAGATCAGGGTTCCTCACTGGAGCATCTTTCTCAAGCAAGTGGGAAAACCTGATCTATATCCCAGCCCAAGTGTCCCTGATTCCCACATTCTCAGGCCTGCTGGGGAGAACGCGCTCTCAATTTCAGCCCGTTGCCCTTGCATTGACATAGGAGGAAGGGGTTGGTCACTTCCTCCGAGCCTGGGCTTGGTTACTCTGTCCCTTTTGGTGCAGCTGTTTAACTTGGGCCAGGATGTCTCGAATCTTCCGCTGAGCCATCTGCAGAATTAAGAGGCAAGAATGAGGACCTCCAAAGGTGAGGAGACAGCCTTACGTGGGAAGAGGCCATCGAGATCTCGACACAGCAACAAACACAGTAGGTCAGAAGGGATTGATTGAGAAGAAAGAGTAAGACTGTGGGTTAGCCTGATCTTGTTTGTCTGCCTCCGGAGTCTGAGCACCTAATGGACAATAGAAGTAGGGGAGTTGGGAAGGAAGGAGAAATTATATAAACTCCTTCATCATAATTTAAAACCTGACAAAGTTGGCACACCTATCACTGATTTGAGGTCCCAAAATGGACCTCCTACTAGAGTTTCCAGAGACAGTGCCACCAGGGGGCCATAAATGAAGGGGCATCATCACAAATCACAACTCCACTACATGTTCTGTTTTCACTTAATTTTCATTCTAACAATGTTCCCACTTCAGTATTTAACACATCCTGGCTCTGTGCCTCCTTGGATGTATCATCTACCCTCTTAAATCTCATACTTCTCATTTGTAAAATGAGGTCATTGTGGGATCAGACGGTTAAATATAGGTAAACTACATAGAACAGTGCTTGGTGTGTATCAGAAGCAGCATCCATAAATCTTAGCTATTACTGTGCCTCTTATTAATGCTTCTCAAAGGGTTGTAAGGAAAGTTGCTTTATATCCAAGGTCATGCAGCAGAAAGGCCACCTGGGGAGCCCTTGGACTCTAAAACCCATGTTCCTGGCACTACACAGTCACAGTCCACTGAAAGCCAACAGCCCAGGTTCTGGGGTCCTGCTTTGCCCTTGACTGCTTGAGCAGCATCAGGTGGGCCACAGGTGAGCTGTGACATTCTTATCCTCTGTGAATGGAAGAGGTTATGTCTCACACCCCTTCTAATTCCAACACTAGGGTGTTTTAAGAATAGCTTTCAATCATAATACTTTCTTAAACTTCTTGAGGCTCAGACATTTGACCTGGCATCTGCCTTTCCTACCAGACTCTGGGGTCAGTCCCAAAGCAAGGCAGTGCTGCCAGGCTTGCTGGAAGCAGTGCATGGAAGGTGGGTTCTGGAATGAGAAGGGGGTGGGGGCAGAGAGAAGAGCTGGAGCCGGGACAGAGCAGTCATTCTGGCTTTGGAAAAAGATTATAAAAAATTATTACTGTTATAATTATTCCATGAACATGACTGGCTTGGGTGGTGAATAATACCAATTTCCTTTCTTATTCAGTGCAAAAGGTGTTACGGAAAGACTACGGGTAGACAATAGATAACACTATTAATATATAATAAATCAGTTACTATATGTAAAATATACTATGCATCAAAGTTATCAAACCATTCCTACAGTCTCAGAAGACAACTGAACATGTACACACCATGCTCCTAACACCCTCAAGAAGAGTGCCTTGTCGTGGTCAGGTGGGACAACCTCGGGAGGCTTGCTTCTCTGACCCTGGGCTCCTATTGCCCTCCCAGGACTGGGGAGCACCGTATGTACCTGGCTAGCATAAAAATGCCCGATGATCTTGACGATGACCTGGTCATTCTCATCTGGTGTCTGGTCTCTTGGCACCACCACCTCAGCTGCTGTTAAATTCTGCAACTCATTCACCTGGGGAGGTGGGAGATGGGGCAAAGAGGAGCTCACTGTGCCATCAAGAAAGCATGGATGGGATTGGAAGGAGGGAAAAGAGGTGGGTCACTAGATCAGGAGTAGAATAAAGTAAATGGGCAAATTAGGAGTCCTAAGGTTCAGCCCTAAGAGTGAGCACGGTGGGAGAGCGGAAGGTCAGGTCAAAGCTGCTGGCCTTGGGACTAACGTCCAGAGCTCCCAGTCTGGCCCTCACAGCTCACCGTTTTGCCGCCCTTGCCAATGACCCGGCCAGCTGCTGATGCTGGGACCCGGATATGGGTCTCCAGCTTTACTTCCTCCTTGGGACCAAAGAAGTTCTCCTCCTTGAGTTTTCCATAAATTCTTCCCTGAGCCTGAGAAGAAAAGGTCATTGTTAATCGGCAGGCCAGGCATGTCTGCCAAAGGGGGAACATGGCCCCCAAGCTCCACCCCGTCCTCATCTAGCTCACAGGCCCACCCCAGGGTGGATCAATCATCTACACCGGGGGGTATGACTAGGTCAACAGTGTTGCCCTGTCAGTGCTCAGTCTGCTTACGTATAATAACTAAAGAACCTGGGTGGGCTAACTGAACACTACTTTCCAGAGGAACATAATTCATAAGCTACAAACCTGACCTATGGGACTGGGATGATTGCGTTTATTCAGACACAGAAGTGACTAGCAATTCAAGCAATAAAGCTAAGGAGCAGGCAGCTGACTGAGTCACTCAGAGGCAGGCTGTTGGACACTGCAGAGCCTAGGGAGCTGTCCGTTCTCCATCCCTGCTTCTGTCAGATAAACTGTTACCCCTGTGGCTTTCTGACTACAAGTTTAAGAACCTAAGGATGTAGTGGGAGCATAAAGGAGAGAAGGGAATTTGGCAAAGGCCTTCATTAGTAACTCATAATAGAGGAAGGAAGAAGCCCTCAGACTTGCTTCTCCACCATATTCCTGCTCACTGCCAGGAAAGAAGGAGTAAGTCTCAGTCAACAGAAATTAACTTTGATGCCAATTTGAAAGCAACCTTGCAGCCCTGTATCTTGCAGGGAAGCTTAAAAATGTGATGGAGATTTGCGATCCCACCCAACCTCAATTCCCCTCTGCAGCCTGGGAAAATAAAAATCAGAACCTTGAATTGGGCCTCTGGGGGTCCAGTGATGATGACCATACGAACTTTGGAGTCAGGAGTTTCAGGAGGAGCAATCTACAAAGCAAATAGCTGGTCAAAGGGATGCCCTTTACTTCCACCCCCTCCAGACCCCTCACACACGCCCCTACTTGCACTACCGCGTCTGAGGGCTAGGGAAGGGAGAACAGACGCCCTGAACACCCCAGGTCACTGCTCCTGCACCAACACGGCTATGAGGGCACCTGCAGGTTTGTTCCAGTGCCATTTTCTCAGGAGGGCCTCCCCGCCCATCTCCCTGCCCAATCTCCTGGGGTCTCAGGTAAGCCATGCTATGGGAGGGGCGTGGGGCTGGGGCAGTGAGCACACCAAAGAGCACTCGCTGCCCCTTCATGAGCACAAAAACAGACTTAGCACTGGGAAATGTAGCACCTTTGTTCCCTACAACAGACTCTCCTCTCTCCCCACTCCGGACCCTGGCCAGCAAAGGTGAAAGTCACTATGCACCAAGCATTGGCAGGGCAGGGGCTCTGGCTGCATGGCTTCATAGCACTGTGATGACTATTGTACTAAGGAGGAAACTGAGGCCTGGGTCCTATAGCTGAGGGGCTGGGACTGGCCCCAGGTTGAGTTTATGCCTGCACCTATGGTCTGTATGCTACAACACTACCTCTTCCCTAGCCTGACAGCCCAGGAATTCAGGAGGCATTCCACAGAGGGCCACACGGGGCCAGAAACTAAGAGACTGTCATCCCACAGGGGAAAGGTCCCAACACCTGCAGATGGAGCATCTGGGAACAAATGCAGAGGGTGATGGAAGCAGAGCACCCTTCCTCCCCCAGAAACTGGAAGAAGGCAGAGCAAGTCACCTTGATGGAGGCACTGGCGAAGCGGGAAAGCTGTTTGATGTGCTGTCCCTTCTTGCCGATGATGGCGCCCACTGCCTGAGCGGGGATGAACACCTGCACCATCTCCTGCTCTGGAGCCTGCTGCCAAGACAGGTGTGTTACCAACGGGCATGCCCCAAACCCCTCCAGGACAAAGAGGTGTGGCAGCCAGCAGCCGACCTGGACTACACCTCTCCAGCTCTCCCTGTTCCCGGCAGGAATAAAGCAAAGAAACTGGACAGCACAGGCTGCCATCCAGGGGCTAACATTCTGAAGGGTGGGTGCCGGGGGCTGGGAGCACTGAAGGGCCATCCCCAGCCCTCCCTTCCCTTTCCCTGCAAATTCCCCAGCATCAGGCTCCCACAGGAAGTTGGATGCAAAAGGCGGCACTGTCGGGCTGGGTCCACTGTAGGGAGACCTTGCACCTACCATAAAGGAGCTGTAGGGAGCAGCTCCAGTGACGCTGCTGGGAGGTGGCGGAACTGCACTAGATGAGGCTGGGAAAAGCCCTACAGCTGCCAAGTTTAGGCCAGGGATGAGATGAGACTGCAGCTGGGGAAGAAAGGAAAGAGGGAGGTTGGCTCATCCTGATGGGACCTGGGGCGGCCCCAGGCAAAAACCCAGAGGGCAAGCGCCCCCAGGGAGATGGGCCAAAGACAGAAATACATGCTTTTATGTAAAACCCACCTGCCCTCTGGTCTTCAAACACGCTCATACACATACACACGCTCACACACATACACACGCTCCAGGTGTGGAGTTGTGATGTTATACTCTCACTGGACCAAGAACTAGCAACTAACTCGAACCAGAAAAGCCAACAGTTTTATGCCTCAAATGTCCTTCCTGTCTGGTTGTTTATCCACTGGTAAGAGACAGGAGGTGACAGACTCATGGCCCTGAACTGGAACATTGCTATGAGAAGTGGCAGAGACAGATCTGTTTGACTTCTTGGACTCGCCTTTTTGGTTTCACACCCCACATCCTCACTCCTGTTTAAAAATCAGATGAAAATTGCAGACCCCCTCCCTTTCCACTAACGTGCACACAAACACAAATTTTACAGGAAGACCACAGACCCTGAAGCCCCAGATTAAACCCCCATCCCCATCCCAAGAATCAGATGAAGTCTCCCATTAGTTAAATTTTAGAAATTTTGATGACTAGAAATCCAACAACAAAGTTAAGTGCTACCAGACCACAGAGGATGTGGCTTGCCCGCCCCTCATGGAGACCCACTTCTGCTGTGGCTCCGACTCAGAGAAGGCTGTGCACTCACACTCATGGCAGCCACATCATTCTCATAGGCCTCCCGAACTTTCTTCATGATCTCCTGCTCAGCCCTGCAGCAGTTCTCAATGGCCCCCTTCACAGTGATGGTCCTCTCGGGGTTGTAGAGGGTAAGGTCCTGCAGCCTGGGGGAGAAAAGCAGTCAACCTTTCACTGACAGAGGAGCACCAGGATGAACCAACACCTTTTCTCCAAATTATTTAACTTTTGGCCAATAGCTCTTGGTCTCTGGCTTTTTGTTTGTGACCAGGGCAGGGAACAAGGTGCAGGGAGATGAGAATATGCAACCAAAACCCCTCTATTTGTAATGCAACTAATCAAGACTGGTTTTCATCAACGGGGTGAAGCAAGGACACTCAGGACCAGAAGTTTCCCCAGTGGTCTAGGCAATGCACTTTCTGCGCCTCTTTGGAACAGAGCAGCTACTTAGCTCACAGGCCCATCTCTGATGAAACGAGGAGGCATGGCAACTGCAGAAGAGTTAATCCACCTCCTTAGCTTCAGTCCCTCCCAGAGAAGCAAGGCTACCACATCAGGCATATTTGCTCTACCCTCAGTAAGGACTTAGGTTGGTCCACTTCTCACAGCCTGGTACATATGCCTGAAGCCCCGAAACCCCAGCTCCTGGCTGCAGACCCTCTCCTGTAGATGCCCAGCAGGGAAGGATGCTCAGGGCAGCACCCTCAACAGCAGCTCTCTAGCCCTTAAAGAGATAAATGCTCTGCAGCTTCTGTGATTTTTCTTCTCAGACAGAAACTGCATCCAATTTAAGGGGCAAGTACTAAGGCTTAATAATGAAATACTGCCAACCTGGACCCCCCAGAAGGCCCACACATCAAGAGGGAAGTGTGAGCGAGTCTTACGAGGAGATGGTGATTTTGGTCTCTGTGTCCTGCTCCACTTTCTTCAGGTTGCGCCCTTCCTTGCCAATGAGACGCCCCACAAAGTTATTATGGGCCAGGATCTTCAGGGGAACTTCGTCAGCCCTTAGAAAGAAGCGGGAACAAGAGCTCCTTAAACAGTGGACCACATTGCAACTCGGTCCTCATGCCACCGCAGACATGGGGCTCCCAGGACAAAGCACAGGAAAACATTACATTTTACAAGATTGCAAAAATCAGCAGCTCAGTGGCTGCTTAGGGACCGAAGAACAATGATGATGGGTATGTTCTTATCTTAACTGTGATTATTTTAAAGGTATATGCATAGTAAAACTCATCCCACTTGAATACTTTAAAATGGACATACTATATTATTTGATTCAGCTCTAAAAACAAGTCAGCTCAGTATGTCCTGGCAGCAGGTTCATGATCCTGCTTGTGCTAAAACATACACAGTGTACATATATACACACACCGGGAGTGCACAGAATTGCCAGGACATACAAGGTGCTACTTGGAGGAAGGAGGACTTTGTTTCTCAGTTTATATCCTTTTGTACAATTTTTAACTATGTCTCCTATTAATCTTGTTTTCTTGCTAATAAAAGTTTGTGTTAGGGTGAGGAAGGCGGCAGTCCCCAAGTCCCAAGAAAAACCGAAGTCTTACGTTTTGGTGTCCTTTGCCTCCTTATGCATGATCTCCAAGATCATCTTACAAGCAGAGGAGCAGCCCTCGGGGGTTGAGTGGACGCTGATGGCCTTCTCTGCAGCGCCTGCATTCTCCTTCCTGTGCACGTCTATCCTGGGGACCACAGGACGAGGAAGGTGAGCTGTCCCTGATGAGACCAGGATGCTCTACTTCACACTGCCCGCACAACTCGACTCCTCAGCCAGACATAGAACCTACTCTTCTTGGAGCAAGGCCGAGTATCGAATTGGGAAGGGCAGAGAAAGGACAGGGAAATATGGCCAGCCTGTTATACTGAACTGTCTCAATCAGGAAGTGGTGGTTGAGAATGATGGTGTCTATCACAAGACTGTAGGGTTGGGAACAGCCCACACAGCTCTACAGCTTCATTTCCCCAGGAATTCTGGATCTCACCCTTGAAACAACTATAAAAGAAAGGCACATTAGCCCAAATTGAAATAATATAAGGATGTATTATGAACAAGGACATAATGTGACCAGTTCTTTCCCACAGAATACCCTGATCAGCTGTAAAGATTAGCAAAGAAGCCTGTTGTGATGAATGGGAGAAATCCTGACCTCTCACTAAGGACCTGACTTTGGTCAGGCTGGACAGCGCTGTTGTTACCAGTAAGTGGTGCTGAATTCAAAGAGCACTAAAGAGTGGCTGACTCACCAAGATAGGTTTGCTTGATAAAACTTTCTACAAGAAATCACAGAATCCTTCTTACTAATCAAGGTGCACAGCCCAGTCACTACGACCAAATGGTGCACCTCAGGCTCATTCCACCTTCCTAGGAGGCTGCAGCTGGAAGCAGTGACCCCTGAATGAAGAGAAGGGAACACATTCCAGGCAGCATTTCTCAAAGTAAATGTTGAAGCTCTTTAGTGTGTTCCAGGAGGTACTGGCCTCCCCAGGTACCAGCCTGTGTTTCATGGCACCTGCCCCCATCCCCCAGCAGCCAAGACTCACTTGGACTGGGTCTGTTTTGTGATGTTGCGGATGGTGGCACCCTCTTTGCCAATGATGGCGCCCACATACTGGGTGGGGACCAGGAGCCGCAGGGGAATGTCCACTTGTTGCTGCTTGGCTGGGGCTCCCGCTGCCACAGGGGAACCCTGGCGGGGCTGACCCCGAGAGCCAAAGCCTCCTCGGCGCCCATTCTCAGGACCCTGTGCTATCTGCTCGTCAGGAATGTAGGAGACCTTCAAGGCGTGGTTCTCCAGCTGGTGGCCGTTTAGCTTCATGATAGCTCTGAGGACAGAAGAAGAACCTACTGGTCATTCCAGGACAACCACACCAAATGCCTTCCATGTGAAAGCATTCTACTGCATTGCAATGTGAACACACTAAGAGAAAAGGAGATGATCCCCTGCAACCTGTCCCGCCCTCTGCCTTACAGAAGGTTCCACTCTAAATGGCATAAGCCATAGAAGGGAAACATTAAGTTATTTCCACTGAATTTTGGGATTTGCTTGTTAAGTTTAGCCAGAACTACCTATCACTATTCATGTAAGAATCCCATGTGATTCATGATAAATGAGTAAATACAATAAACAGAACATGATAAGAAAAGAGACTGGTTGGTTCTGCACCTATTCAGTCTAGTGCCCTCCATGTTTAAGGAAACTCCATGGAAAAAGAAGTTAAGAGTTGGAGACAAAACAGTGGGCTTACTACTTGAAAGCATGAGCTTACATCTGTGGTGTCTGCAAAACATGACTGACTGGCAGTGAAGGGACGGGGTAAGCATGGTCCATTCTCAAGGCTGACCCCGAGGCTGACACTCACTAGAAATGTCAACAAGGCAACAACAGGCAGTGGGGATTAAGCAGGTGTGGATATGATGTTTAAAGCCAGGCTAAGGACAAAAGATTGGTCACAGGGGACAGCAAGGACCTCCAGAATTTTCTGAACCCAGGAGGCACCTAAAAGAAAACGGTATTAGTGAACGTGGTGGGATTTTACAACGTTGTCACTACGTTGGAGGCAACAAGAGATAGAGGCAGCACACTGAAAAAACAAGACAGCCAGCCATTAACAGCAAACTGTGGCAAAAGTTCTAATAGTGCAGGATGTGGATGTAAACAAGGAAATGCATAAATTGCACAGGTCTGCCAGTACCAGTGGGTGAGAAGTGTAACTGCTCAACCAAAGGACTACGGAGGTAGAACATGTGGCTGCAGTGGGGCTAAGAGGACACTATGAAAGCATAAACTGGGCTCATGGCAATCCCGCAGTAAAATGTCTGCCCCAGCCACATCCTAATGTTAATACCCACTCAGGTCTCACAGTTCCCCTCACTATCACTAGATGGCGCCATCAACACAGCAAAAGACCTTGCAATTCTAACGCAACTAGAGACCTATCATAAACCGACCTTTTGCTCCTAAAGGACTTCCCATGTTTCCCGGGAAGTCTTAGGGACCCTCCCCCTAATTTGCTATCCTTTGAGATCCCTGAACCAAAGCACAAGTTGACCTGAGATTGTCTTACACAGTATCAGCCCAGGTGGGAACTCCTGCCTGCCTGGACCTCAACCCTTTAGAAGCAGGGGGTTCAGCATCCCAATACCCCAAAAAGACCCTCCCTACCCCACATTCCAACCCACTCACTGCCTGGTCTGTTCCCGGTTGGAATAGGTGACGTTCACCACGGCAGTTTCACTCTCAGTGTTCACTGGGGAAGCAAAACAGAGGCCACAGTTAGAGCAGACATCTCGAGATGCCATGGATGAATCCCAGTGCTAAAAGCTCGTCCTTCCAGCTTATGAGGATGGGGGAAATACTTAAATGAACTTAGGAAATACTTGAATGACAGACAAAATATTCCCCCTTATGCTCCTTTAGGACCTTTTCACCAGAACTAGAAAATTCCACCACTCTTCCTTGCATTTTTCTGTCTTCCTTAGATTTTCCCTAAGCAGCCTCCAAGCAAGCTGGGCAGCAAAAGGGTGTAGTCACCTTCAGGAGTTACGCAGCAAGGAGAACACACACAGGCAGTGCACACACACTGCCCTGAGAGGTAAATTTACTCTTGGGAAGTTAAACTAGTTAAAAATCAACACACACTGAGTAAGATTAGCAATTTCTAGAAGTACACACCCCAAGAAATGGTCTGTTAGGATATGGCCAAATGACTTGGGGACACAGAATCCACAAGGATACACTCATCAAATGTTAAGTGTATTGTGACTTAGCTCAATGGGCTGACAGAAGTGGCTGCTGTGGAGTCCAGGGGGAAAATATTTCCTGACTGAGTATTCTAAACAACCTGGCAGTGGAAATGCACACATTCAGGCCATCCCAGATTCATGACACCAGCCATTAATTCTCATCAACGTCCTTGGCTCTAATCATGAGCAACCTTTTCTGTTTTGATTATCATACATACATACTCTTTCCTATGGGAGGAGACTGGGCTGGCTATTAAAATTCCAGGCCATCTGGGCATTTACTTCTCATTCCAAATTAATGCAATTAGCCTCTGTCTTATGCATCATCTTGTGATCTGGGGTCCCCTTGGCCCACTCAGCCCTCGAGTGCAGGAATCAAGTCTCTACCCCCACCACACTGAGGATAAGGCACTTGGCCATAAAACCTCAAGGCTGGCCACTCTTCACCCTTCTGGTCTTCAGCAGGAGAACTCCACTGGCAAGGAAGATTCTGCAGGAATCATCTTCCAGTTAAATGGAAATACAGTAGTGAACGAAAACAACAAAACCTCTGCCTCTGTGAAGCTTACATTCTAGAAGGACACAATAGATACTATAAATACAAATTCTATAGAATTAGGTGATGAATGCTGTGGAGAAATATGAATTGGGTGAATCACTGGTGCTAAGGGATGCAACTTTAAATAGGTAGACAGAAAAGGACCTCACTTAGAAAGGGACATTTGAGCAGACTAAAGATTGTTGTTGTCCAGCAAAATCAAACGTTTCCCATTCTGTTCTCTCTGGGTAACAGGTATCCCCCTCCTGATATGGTATGTTACAGCTCCCTGGTAAGCCCTGCATAGATTTCAACTGCTGTTGACTCCTGCTGAGCCTCCTAATGAGGCTCACCATGTTCTCCCAAAGCCACTGCTCACTCTTGCTGTTTGTCCTGAAGTACCCTCAGTCATTAGTTTGAGCTGTGAGCAGTACTGAGCAATGGTTATCAGTGCGTCCAGCTATATCCTGAACTTATGGTAAAAGGCAAGCTACCAGATTAGAGCAGGAAAGAACCTGTTTAATTCAGCACTTTACTTTTGTGCAAACTTTAATCATTTATAATGAGTTACACATTGCCCCTTTCCACAAAGACCATGGAGATAAGTATTTCAGATCTTGACCAAGTAATTATCGAGTATTCCTAAAAATCTACAAACTCAAATTGTATTTTGTCTACCTAATGTCCAACCAAAGGCTCTCTATTTCATTTCAGCTCATTTCCTCTGAAAAATAATTTATAATCATAAGCAGTAGAGAAACCTCAAAAATAACAGCAAATGTTTTCTAATCTAGAAATTTATTATTTCTCCTCCTGCGGACCCCACTCTTGAAAAGTTTTACCTGCCCATCAATATGTACGAAATAATAAATCCGCTGCTTTTTTTTAACTGACCAAAGATATGTAGCTGAGATGGTAACTTACTTACTGTGATAAGCATTTAATAATGTAGACAGATAATTGTTGAATCACTATACAGTACACTTTAAACCAAATAATATTGTATGTCAACTATTCTTCAATTAAAAGAACAAAACAAAGTCATGTAACTGACAATCAGATCTTCTAACAAAAAACGAGGCAACCAGTTGATTATTCCATCCAATAACAAAGAATCATGAAGCTTTTTAAAGTAAAAGGGCTACAGAGTTACTCAGGCTGAATACTCAATTTCCAATTTTAAACTATTTCTAAAATCTTGGAACCTTTACCTCTACCTTGGCTGAACACCTAGGAGCCTGGGCTCCCCAGGTTAGGAATGAGTGACTTTGAGTCTCTCATTAAATAGGAGAAACCTTTTCCAGAGATGGGCAGCACAGCCAAAGCTGGTAGCACACGTCCAGGTCCCCAGACCAGTGTTTCTTCCGTCAGACCACATTGTCTTCTCTTGCTATGCCAGAGAGATTTGGTAATAGAAAGCGAGCCAAAACAGATCCCCTACAACCCCCTCCCCAACTCACACCCCACCGTCTCTGCCCACTTACCTTGCTCGCAGTTCTCCACTGTACCGTACTGAGCAAGTAGGCTGTCTAGTACCTAGGAGCAGGGAGAAGGGAGGAAGGCTACTCTGAGCACCCCAGAAACTGTCACAAAGCCAGCCAGCCACTGGACTCCCCTCACCCCAAGGCACAGAGCCACAGGTAGAGCCTTTGGTGGGGACTGAGCATTATTCGTGGTTTAGTTAGTGACCCAGAAAGGGCAAATGCTAGTGGTAAAATGTTAGGGTATCTTTGCAGAAATGTACTTGAGCTCAAAAAGACATTTATTTAAGGGCCTTTTTGCAAGTAGAACTGGACCACCTGGGTCACTAAATCAACTTCTGCCATCACTTGAGGCTCAGGGAACACCCTTCCCACCTCCCTATTGCCTCTCACCAGAGGAGGAGTCCAAAAGCCTAACACTAGTTGTCATGGGTTAAGAATGAGGACCCACCAGCCTCCCCTCAGCACTGGCCGACCCTAACCACCAGGGGACCTTCCTAGTCATTTCTGCCAACTCAAGTGATCCAGACTTCCTTTGCAGTCTCCACTACCCTGTACCACTGAGTTTCCCCCAGTCACTTACTTCCCATCGAAGCTGAGGTGGAATATTTCGGATCTGAATTTTCCGACTCCTGAAATGAAAGGGAACAGGATTAGTGGCAGCTCTGGATATCTTAGGGGCCTATGACCTTGCAGTTTTTAATTCTTGCCCCAGTCTTGATCTTCCCACCTTTTGCTCAACAGCAAAGTCTTGGAGTCTAAGAATGATATCTACTGGGTATGGAGGTCTAGTGTAAGTATGCCTCACTTTAGAGAGCAAAAAATATCTGAACCTTAGATGCCCTGAGCCCAAGGGTAACATAATTCCCTAAAAATCACATCTCCCTACTGGGGTTTCTTTTCGCTAGTTCTTTTATTCAGTAACTATCTTAATTACCACTCACTGTGTTTCATACACTAGGAAACAAAGCTACATACTTTGTTTCATTAACCTAATACCTACTGAATTGGTGCCTACTTCATACTGAACTTTATTCTACACGCTGGGGTCACACAGCAATAAACAAAACAAAGTACCTGGCCTCAAGGTGCTCACAATTTATTACAGGAGGACATATGTGCAAACAATTTACAGCAGGATAATGGCACAGCAGTTAAGTGCTTTGTACAGATATGGATTTAAATCTGTGCTCCACTTAATAACACTGATCTTACAAAGGTTATTTAACTTCTTTGAGGTTCAGTTTCCTCCTTTGTAAATCAGGGATAATACCTACTCAACGGTGGTATAAGGTGTGTTAGATAATAATATAAAGAGCTTAGCAAAAGGCTTTGGAGTAAGTACTTAAAGTGTAATAATAGACGCCTATGTGAATAAGGTGGAAGTACTTCACACACACAAACCAGCATCAGGGCTGCCACCTTCCCTCCTCCCAGTTTACTACACCCTCTCCTACCATGCTTCAAATGCCTCTTAAAAATGTAATTTTCCCTAAGCAAGGCTCCCAAGGCAATTAACTGCTCACCACCCCAATCAATACCCCAATCCCTAGGCTTAAAACACTGCAACTGACTTGATCCATGTTGGTCAATTGTCATTTATGTTTTTGCATACCCTTGATCACAAACTCTTAGTTTAGGGATGTGGTATTTCTACTGGCAAGAGGGAAAACTGAGCTAAGAAGCAAGAAAATTAAATTCTAGCTCTTAAACTGCCCCTGGTTGGGTGTTCTGTCTTACTAAAACACTTAAAGTTTCAGGCCTCTATTGCTTTATGTTATACAATGAGCCCCATGACAGCTCTTGCCAAGCTAGAGGGGAAGGGGTGCTGAATACACATGGGAGCATGAGAAGGGATGGTAACTGAGTTCTAAGTGCAAACACATCCATCCTGGCTCTGCCCTGAGCCAGCTCACTCACTTCATCCCATGACCTCAAATGTCTTCGGCTGTAAAATGAACTCCATGATCCCCCTTCTAGGTCTGGGACTTTGAGTCTTCATCAGTGATATACATTAAGGAAATCTCCTCCTGGGATGAAATAACTGAGGGGGAAAGGAGTGTTAAAGAACCAGTGTATGGCTTTCTACTCCGACTGGTTCATGAACCTGAACTAAGGATGTCATATTATTACAGGACAAAAGACTAAAGGATCAGAAACGAGTCTCGTTCCAGGAGCCATGGATCCGATACCAGGCGCCACCTTGTGGTGAAATCACTGGCCAAAAGGGAGCCCCATGTCATCTGCCTTTGGGAGGGATTTCCCACACAGCTCACTTTATGACAAATAAGCAGAGAAAATGCAGGAACCCTCACAATCAGAGTAACTGTTGGAGAAACAAGACTATCACAGCACTGGAAAGTTGAGAACACTAGCTAGAAGCCAGTAACTCGGTCACCCAAACTGAGGGTGGGGCTCCCTCAATCCAGCTCTCCCGGATGGAGGGCAGGTGGAGAATGCTGGGGGCTGCTGCTGCCTTGGAGTTCAGACAAGAAAGACCTACAGCAATTTCTGTGCAGGTGGTCAGTTTGAAAAGCCCTTGATCTTTCAAGGTGGTCCCTTGGTATAATCTCAGGTCAAAGATCAAAAATACCCTCCTTCTTCCAACTCTGTTTTAGAGGCTTTTTTTTAGGGCAAGGAGGAGTTGGGAAGGAGATGGGGTGGTGAAATCAAATCTCAGTTTGGGAGGTTAATCCATATCCTGAAAGCAATGACCGTCTGGAATGTCTGGAATGTTTCAGGAGGAGGTGGGGGGAGGAAGGCAGGGCCACAAAACCAATGAAATAAAAGACATCCTGGCAGATCTCCCCAACCCCCAACAGGCAGAGACACTCACCCCTCTAGGGCACACCCAACCTTGGGAACCCAGGCCAGCCCACTTCAGGCCCCTCTAAACCTTTCAGCAAAGCCCCAAAACCACGTAAAAAAGACACATTGGGCCTCGAAGAACCTTTCTCTTTTAAGCCCTTGGCTGGGTTTTTATTAAATACGGTGCTAATGTCTGTCAAGTCAAAGCACAAGGGGCAATGCTGGAAACTATACACAGTACTCCCTTCCCCAGAAACCCCTGGGGAACTCACTCATGCCACGCACTATGGAAGGCCAGCACAGGCTGGCCTAGGGCAGTGTGCTGAGGGCTTGGGAAGTCCAGATGGAAGCTAAGAGCACCCTGGCTGGTTACTTGCTCTGTGCCTTAGTTTCCTCCTGTGGAAAATTGATATGGCTTTTGTGAGGCGCTCAACAGGTAAGGCACGTGAGTCAGGGTGCCTGCCTTGGAGTAAGCAGTAAGCACTCAATCCCTGCCCCAGTCCTTAGGAGCCTGCAGGTGTGCAGACAAGCACAGGAAGAACCAGGCAGCAGCACTGACAAGGAGCACTCCATAAGATGGTAACAGTCTTGAAAACGCTTACTCTTGCACTGCCAGGGAAAACAGTAGGAAATAGCACTGATTAGAGGTCCACTCCCTTCCCCCCCAACCTTCCCATGACAAATAAAGGGTCCTGGTCTGGCCCAGGAACCCACTCCAGCACTCCAGCGGATCAGCCTCCTCTAGGGTTGAGTAGTTCCTTTACCATACAGGTAATAGGGCACTATAGTCTGAGCAGAGCCTGCCATGCCTAAACCTCAACATCCTTTGTTCCCAAAGGCAAGAGAACTCCCAGAGGTTCATAAACAATCACCTACTTACCCCACAGCTGATACACCTGTTGAGTGAAAGAAGGAAGCCACTAGCCTCTGGCAACAAAGGCAATGATGACCCCAGCCTACTTATTTCCCTGGGTGCCAACATCCTGTGGCTTCTGACCTCTGCCTGCCCCAGCCTGCAGGGCAGTAACCAGGCCCTGGGGAAGCTCCCCAAATACAGAGCAACCACCTATCTCTCCAAAGCTGCAAGGGACACATAGGGGTCATGCAGGCCACAAAACCACAATGACTACTCTTCTCAAACCCCTGGGAGATTCCGGTGGAGAGGTCAATACTACAGCACAAGGAGTTAGGTAGGAAACAAAGAGAAGGAAGTACAGGAAGGGGACATAGTTGGGAGTTCTCCCTGGGCAGTAAGTACTCATCCTAATTTCACCTTTTCAGAAGAGCATCACTGACTTAGACCTCATGAGAAGGAAAAGAGGTCAATTAGGAAAGGGAATGACATTTGAGGTATGCATACCAGATGCCAGGCTCTGAGATCAGGACCTAGTATATGTCTCCCACTACACACGAGGATATCGAAGGCTCTGTGTTACATACCAGGGCCCTGAGTTTGGGAGATTAAGTATCCCTGCCAAGTCACACGACAACTGGCGACTATGGGCCAGAGCCAGGAGTTCAATGTAAAGCCCGTGACTCCAGCCTCTTTGCACTGTCCCACAGGCTGCCTTTTGATGGCAGAAAGGTGACAAACAGCCTTTGCCAAAGTACAGTCCATTTAGGCTAGAGGACAAATACATTCACTTTATACGACATAGCGAACAGTGGGCCTGATGAGTGGGCGCTGCTCATCAGTAATTCAAAACACCCCACCTGTAATTCCTTAGGCTAGTAACTTCTCTCTCCAGCACAGATTTCCAAACCTAGTTGCAAAGCGAATCTATGGCATATTGAACATTGACTAGATATTCGGTAAAATAAATGTTAATTTTTAAGAAGTCATTTTTTAAGTTCTTATATTTTAGAAGTAGATACTGAAATAACTACAGATAAATGATGTATGTAAGCTTTCTTTCAAAATAATCAGGGTTGAGAAAACAGAGTAATGATGAGTTGGTAATTTTTAAAACTAGGAGGTGATGGGTACATGGATTTATTACACAATTCTCTTTTTTTTCCTGTAACAAAAAGGTTCTTTTTCAAAAAAGAAAAAAAAAATGTTATTCTAGCTCATCCAGTTTTGAAGTCACTGCAACTTCCAAATTAATCGGTCTAAACTAATAATGCTTTCCAAATGTTTTAAAGGCAAAAATGCAGGCCTTGGTGAGGACCCTGCTGGAGGGCAGGGAGTATACGTCTGGGGTCCAGTGGAGAGGTGCATAAATGGGACCCTTTTCTCAGAATGGGGCTTCCCTGGAGGGGGACAGAAACTGCCCAGTCCAGGGAGTGCCTCTAATCCTCTGCAAACGTGCTCCTTCCCTTTCACCCCCATGCCCAGAGGGGAAGGTCCCATCTTCCACCAGGTAGATGACTTCACCACTGCTAGAGGGAGGAGTTCCTTTACACCAGGGTGGGGCAAGCCAGTGGAAGGTAGGGAGGGAGGAAGTGAGGAGGGAAACAGCCAGGTTAGGGCAATCTTCAAGTTTGGAACCCCAATCCCCAGAGGCCCCTACCATGTATCAAACCTGAACTTTCATCTGCACAGACAACTCTGATTAAAGCCTGACCTTACTAGGATCCTTCCCCTCTTCCCCTCCCCTCCCCCCCAGGCTGTGCTTCTCTGACTAGGGGGCCATGTGGTCTTGGGCAATCTGGCCTTAGGCTCGTCGGACCTCAGTTTCTCTCATCTGGGAAACAAGGACTAGGATTAGTTATTTTACAGGGTCAGGTGTCCCTGGACAGGCATCAGTCCTGTCTACCTATAGGGAAACACTTTAATTTGAGGGATTTTATGTGCCCTCATGGTCTAAATGATCTTAACCTT